ATAATGACGACGAAAAGTCAACGTTGAAAGAATCATCCTCGAAAATAGGCTTTTTACCGATATGGCGGGCGCGTTGTATTACTCCTTATAACCCGGAGTTATTGCCGGAAGCAGAACCCCTGCTGGAGGAAGTAATTGAAATCATAATCACATATATTTGATAATTCAAATATTACATCGTAATTGTCCTTCATGCGATCTGTTTTAATACACGTATACCGATACGTGGGTAATGTCGATCTCCTGAATAGTCGATAGGAAATTGATAAATCGGTTCATATAGGTGAATTTTATATAAGAGTTTTACAACATCGACGCGTAGTTATATTTGTTTTATTTCGGAGATAGGTAACTACGAAAACAGATTAATATTGGAAAGCGGAATTGCGAGTTCGCGATCTATATCCAATCACCTTTCTCTAAAGGGGGTAGGATTTCCTTAATACACTGTCTGCGTCATCGGAAGCGGAAACGATTCTTCCGGTAAAATGAATTTTAATCGACCGCTTTATATTAACGAGACTAACGAATATCCGGTAGTTATTTCCAGCGCGTCGCTAGACTATGGACTTCCGTAATCATTAATAGAATTACGATATCCGGGCAGAGGATAGTCTTTCTTTTCAAATCATGTTTATGTCACTTCTCGTTACCCTGACATGATATATCACCGGTATTCGATGGGATTATAAAATCTAATGTAATCCCGAAACGTTTCGTCCTGACAAGATATCGTGTTCGCGTAGGTGTCAACGGAATCCTCGCTCGACGAAGACGAAGATGATGTTTGGTCAAAAATCGAAAGGTCCTCCGATTATCCAGAAGAAGATTATCTAAAAGATTATCCGGAAGAAGATTATCGCGAAGAACATTATCAGGAAAAGACATCGCCTCAAGACGACAGTCCTTGATTGTGATGAAATACACGAGTTTGCCGGCTTCAAGCCATCGATTAATCAATTTGTGAGCGTATTACATACTCTCCTTGTATTGTTATACACAATATGCTAATTTTCTTCCACATAGATAATATAAAATAAAATTAAACGAGTATGTTTTATCACTAATTTACAAAAATAACGCATTATAGTTTTATCGTCATTTAAAAAGAAACGATTCGTTACTTTTTTTTTTTGTAACACCAAAATAAGATATTAAATATAAAAACTGCATTATTTAATAATTTTTATTTAATATTGATTGTAAGAATCAATATTACATAAATACAATTTGAAACTCTAAACTAATCTACTAGTTTTCTTTATATTAAACTTATTTAATAAATCTTCTATAATTCTTTATGTTAATATTTTTGTTTTTTAATAAATGCTTATCTTTAAGGAATTTAAATTGTAATTTACAAATTTTATTAAAAATTTTTATTAAACATTGTTTTTAAACATTAATCTTATTATAAAGAGCGTATTCTAAATTTACTGTATTAAATAATGCAATCTATTGAATAGATAAAAAAATAACAAGCGATTAAAATAACGATGAAGTTAATGGTTAAATTCGTTACTTATTATCTTTACATCTATTCAATAGATTATATTAGTGATACACATATATGTGCGCGTGCGTGTGTATATATTTGCAATTAATTTATATATATATATTTTGTTTAATATATTAAACGCGAAATTGAAAGCGCAAGCTCAGTTATATTGTATATAATCGAAATACAAGCACGTTCATGAGCACGTCACAGCTACATGGGATTATTCTCTGTGCTTGCTACTTTATAGGATAAAGTTCTCAGCCTGATATAAAATGACACCACAAATATCAAACTGCTATAATTTTTGATTATAGCTAGAAAAGTTTGATCCTGCATAGGGCTACTGTTAAAATGTCAGTTCATTAGTTTCTTTGTTTCTATCGTATAAAGCAACCAATTTTTGATTTCATCATAACAATGCACCCGCTCACATTCTTCAATTGCAGTCGAAAAATTCCATGAATTTATTCCGCACAAATATAGTACAGGTACATGTACTATATTTTACCAAATCTGATCTTGTGGAACCAATTCTGAAATTTTAACAGCAGCTCTATGCAGGATCAAACTCTAAAATTATACCAGTTTGATATTTGTGGTGTTATTTATGTGTCAGACCGAGAACTTTTTGAATTACTTTTGTATATCTATGTCGAACTTATAACTAGTTTTATGGTGGGGATTACATTTACAAAATGTAAGAGTTGAAAGAGGAAGACTAAACTTCAGTCAGAAAAAGTTATGTGAAAGTGGGAGAAACAGTAGTATTGAGTTATATACAGCGATATTCGATAATGTAGTCATTTAATCGAATCATAAATTTAATGACGTCACATTACACGACTCGGTAGAGCATGCTGATTTTTAGAGAGTAGCAGGTTCCCACAATACTGACAAATACTATCAATTTTAGTTTTTAAGATGAACACGCAAAGAAAACCGCATGTACATCTGTACTTTTCTAGTTGATTGCTTCGCGCGACTTATTTAGGATTGTCACAGAAAATGAATTTTAAAATTTCCTGACTGATTTTCCTGAAAATTTTCTGATCCGAGGTTTTTTAGATCAAATATATTTAATAGAAAATGTATCTTAATTATAAAAAAGTTTAATTAAAGTGAATTTATATTAAACTATATGGAAATTAAAACAAAAATGAAACTTGACATTGTAAGAAATGTATAATTTTTATATTTAAAAAGGAATTATATTTCCTTTAATATAATGACCGATTTAATACATGACTTAGTATACAATTTGAAATATTGATTAAGAAAATCAGTATTTGACCACAATTATTAGATATATTATTTAAAAAATTAAAAAAGTATTTTAATAGAACAAAGCTCGAAAAATTCCAGACTTTTATATTTTTCCCTGACTTTTCCATGACCAATTTAAATTTCCACAACTTTTTCCGGTTTTCCAAATCTGTGACAACCCTCGTAAAAAAAACGAATTACGTCAAGAAACATGAAGATTCTATAAAGATCTATCGAGACGTAAAAGGACGGAGGACAGGGCGAATAAATACATAAAGTTGTCACGTAAGAGATCGCAGTCTTTTAAATAGGTAAGTTACAGGTCATGAGTGAGTAGAGTGCGTACTATATTATAGTCAAGTCCGTAAAGGTCATAAAGTGCTTAACACAGATAAAGTGTTATCGAGAAAACGATGCAATGCCTAACATTTATATCGTAAAATTATATTAGACCGTCGTATCAAAGCGTCGTCAACTGTACTAAGCATAGTGCGAGTCGCGCATTTGGCTCGTTCTCGGTACGAGTTCTGAGCGAGTTTACAAACGAATTTGTAAAATCTGTGGCGCACTGGCACTAGCAACATTGTGTGTGTGATAGCAAAATACTTTGGTCTGCGACTTCGCGTCCACTTGGCACAAGATAAAAAAATTCGCGAGTAACGCGATGTACACACAGCCCTTGATCTGGTCGAAGCGACTGTTTTCCTTTCGCCTCTAGTTCCGGCTTTATCGAGAGATAACCGACTTCGATGTATGTTTCACCGCATTTCTTACGACATTAGGGATATCGTCACAACAGTCGAATTATTCAATAATATTGCACTTGTTTGTGCATCGTGAGAAGTCATTTATACGATCTTATTTGAACATGAATCTTGCTTGAACTTGGATCGCGCGCCGGTGCGCCTAGTGTGTGCGTTTAACGTGCCAACGATTTTCTTCGAAGTCGTTTAAGCATTTCAGGTACGTAAACGTGGACGAAATTTGCACTTCGTCGCGCGAAGCGACTTGTTTCAGCGAGCAATGGTGCCAGCTCTTGACGAGTGACTCTCTGCTCCTAAAATGAGATTTTTTTCCGCTTATACAGCACGTATCTATATACAAATTCGATACAACTTCCGATTTCAACTTCCGATCATCGTTAATATAAATATAAGAATGAGCCATTTTTGTATTGTATTTTATCGATTAGCGAGAAAGAGGAACGCAGGATGATGTCGATGATACTTCAATACAGAAAATCGAGTACATACAATGCAAAATTGCGCACATTTATCATCCATAGCGTGTAGACAGTAAGAATTCTTTCGTTCGATAAATACCATTCTGATTATGTCAAATGTAGATCGTAGATGAGCGTCATTGTCGGAGATGTCGACACAAAGCGACTAAACAACGTTATCTCACATCAAATCCGACGGCGGTCTCTGAAACGCAATACTAGCTACGGAAATGCTGCACAGGCCGGCCGTTATGATACCCATGCATATGTAGACCGACGTAATTAGCCAGAAGGCAAATAAATATAGTGTCTTATTGCAATACTTCCCTAATGCTGGATCATAGTTTGGCTCATATTCCTTGTATACCCACATAGAACCTGTAATTAATAAATTTATAATATTGTTCTCGAAAATATCCCCAATACAATTAATTAACAAAAGAGAACCAAAAATTCCATAACAACAAATAACAGTTTCATTGAAATTTTTACTAAAACAATTTTCTGAAAATTCCTAGATTTTCTAAGTAATTTTACTAAAAAATTTTTTAAATATGAAATTTTTTAAGTGTAATTTTAAGATAAATTGAAGTGCAAACAATTTGAACAAATTGTATATTATGAATTGTGTGTGTGTGTGTGTGTGTGTGTGTGT